GACTAATATCCAAAACGCAATACGTCGAACAAAAACGAACCGAATATATATATACATATACAATAATCAATTCAGCGAATAATTCTAGCCACACAATAGCACGTAAATTATAACAAGAAGGTTCAAATTAGATTACCCGTCTTCGGGAATTTACGAAAAATTGGAAACACGGGTCGGACAACGGAGCGAACGGAGTCTCGACGGGACTCAAAACTATAAACTTTCAAAAGTGAGGACGGAGAGCTGCTGGTTCTCGACGGCACAACGGCTCTGCTGCGTGGACGCAGGCAACGAACAGGCGCTGAAGAGAGGTCTCGCCGGTGAATTGAGGCTGTTCGAGGTTCGCGTTGGACAGCGGATCTCCGGTGAGGACGGCGATCGATGACTGGAACGATGGGATGACGACGAGGAAACGCCGGCGATCGAGCTGCAGACTGCCGGAATTTGCAGGTGCGGTATAAATTTTTTTTTTTTTTAAACTGTTGAGAACTGGTGAGAGAGAGAGATAGATGGTGAGCTCTGAACGAGATGGAGGATGGAGACTATATGTATTCTCAGGCAAAAAGATAAGGGAGAAAATTGGGGAGATCGTGCGAGCGTGCAACAAGATTTCACCAAAAATCGCAACAACAAAATTATAATCCGTTGAAGGAGATGGACTCGGTCGCAGGAATAAGTAAAAATATCTCTTCGCTATAATGGCAGGTGCTAATAAGTGTTTGGGCTTGTCAGGTATGATTATTGGGCTAAAAAAAATATACAAAACATTGGTCCAACAATATTAAATACCAAAGGGCCGACTAAATGGAGCCCCGTTGGATCGAATTCTTCAACGACTCGACTTACGAAGACTCGGGCTCGGTTCTATTGAACGGTTCGCTAAACAAAAAATAAATTAACGGAAACACATATATATTTATATAATACACACAATAATATTTATAACAATAATAGGCATTAAAACAATTAGACATTCAATCACAAATAAATAATAATAATAATAATAATAATAATAATAATAATAATAATAATAATAATAATAGTAATAATAATATAAATAACCAATAATAATAGCAATAATAAATAACCAATAAATAATCTCAAATAATTCAAATTCAAACGGGGCGTTACAGTCTACCCACCTTACAAAGAATTTCGTCCTCGGAATTCAAAAATAAAACTAGAAAGCGATAAAATACAAAGCGAACTCAAAACTCAAAGTTCGGATAACGCCTCCTAATATCGTCCTCCCTCTCCCAAGTCGACTCAGTCTCATCGTGTCGGCTCCACTGCACCTTCACTAAGCTCACTGCCCGGTTCCTCAGCTGGTGGACCTTCCGGTCTAAAATGACTGCCGGTACCTCCTCGTAGGTAAGATCTCGCTCGACCTGCAGCTCGCCGAAGTCCACCACATGATCGGGGTTATGCACATATATCCGAAGCATCGAGACATGGAACACGTCGTGCACACCCGACAAGTCTGGTTTTAAAGCCAGCCGATACGCTAAGTTCCCGACTCGATCGAGGATCTCGAACGGCCCAATATAGCGAGGTTTAAGCTTCCCCTTCTTCCCGAAGCGAATCACACCTCGCATTGGTGAAACTTTCAGAAAGACATGATCTCCCACAGCATAAACATGCTCCTGTCTCTCCCGGTCAGCATAGACCTTCTGCCTCTCCTGGGCAGACCTGATGGTCTTCCGGATCTCCTCAACGGTCGCTGCAGTACTCTGGACAAAATCCGGACCTGTAATCCTCCTCTCTCCAACCTCATCCCAATACAAAGGGGTCCGAACCTTACGTCCGTACAAAGCCTCATACGGAACCATCTTGATGGAAGAGTGGTAGCTGTTGTTGTAGGTCAGCTCGACTAGCGGTAGGGCATACTCCCAAGTCAGGCTTCGGTCCAAGACCACAGCCCTCAATATATCCTCAAAGTACTGGATCACACGCTCCGACTGACCATCTGCCTGGGGGTGAAAGGCTGTACTGAACTCCAACCTCGTCCTCATGGCTCGGTGCAACATCCTCCAGAACTGGGATGTGAACTTGGCATCTCGATCTGAAACAATCTCCACGGGCACTCCATGAAGCTTAACAATGTCCTTGACGAACAGTTCGGCGTAATCACTCGCCTTCATGGTCGTCCGGACTGGCAGAAAATGGGCAGACTTCGTAAGGCGATCCACTATCACCCAAACCGAATCATACCCGCTCCTCGACTTTGGCAGTCCCACTAAGAAATCCATGGTGATGCACTCCCACTTCCACAGGGGAACCTCAAGGGGCTGCAACAACCCTCTCGGTTTCTGGCGCTCAGCCTTCACTTGCTGACACACCAGGCACCCATCCACGAACTTCGCTACTTGCCTCTTCATGCCTCGCCACCAGAAAGATTTCCTCAGGTCCTGATACATCTTCGTGCTACCAGGATGGATGGTGTACGGGGCACTATGGGCCTCCCTCAAAATCTCTCTCCGCAGTTCCCATACTCTCGGAACACAAAGTCTACCCTCGAAGACCAAGGCTCCATCAGATGCGACTGCGAACCCACCAACTCTACCGACTTCTGATAACTCTCTCATCCGGCATAAGAAACGGTCATTCGGCTGCTCGGCGACTATCCTCTCTCGAAGAGTCGGTCCCACAACCAAAGAGGCTAACACGCCCCCGACTGTCGAAGTTGACTCCACTGCCTCTAGCTGTAATCGCTCGAACTCCCGAAGAAGAACATCCTGCCTGGTGAATAGGCAAGACAACTGGCCATAACTCCTCCGACTAAGGGCGTCGGCTACCACATTTGCTTTCCCAGGATGATAACTAATGGTGCAGTCGTAGTCCTTGACCAACTCCAACCATCTACGCTGCCTCATGTTCAGCTCCTTCTGGGTGAAGATATACTTTAGGCTCTTGTGGTCGGTAAAGATCTCACACTTGCCTCCATAGAGGTAGTGCCGCCAAATCTTCAAGGCGTGGACAACTGCAGCTAACTCGAGATCATGAGTGGGGTAATTCTACTCGTGAGGCTTCAGCTGCCTCGAAGCGTAGGCTACGACTTTCCCTTGCTGCATGAGAACACAACCCAAACCCATCTTCGAAGCGTCACTATAGATGGTGAACTCCAAAGTAGGGTCGAGTATAGATAGGACAGGCGCGGTAGCGAGTCTCCTCTTCAACTCCTGGAAACTCTCCTCGCACTGAGGACTCCAATCAAACCTCACGGCTTTCTTCGTAAGGTTAGTCAGTGGCTGGGCTATCTTCGAGAAGCCATCGATAAACCTCCTGTAGTATCCTGCTAACCCCAGGAAACTACGAACATCTGCTGCACTTCTCGGCGTATCCCACTTGCTCACCGCCTCAATCTTGCTGGGATCCACCTCGATGCCTCGAGCTGTCACAATGTGGCCAAGGAATGCCACACGGTTCAGCCAGAATTCGCACTTCGAGAACTTAGCATACAACTTCTCGCGGCGAAGAGTCTCCAGCACAATCCTCAGATGCTCCTTGTGCTGATCGATATCTCGGGAATAGACCAGAATGTCGTCGATGAACACAATAACAAACTGGTCCAGGAAGGGATGAAAGACCCTATTCATAAGGTCCATGAAAACGGCCGGGGCATTGCTGAGTCCGAACGGCATGACTACAAACTCATAATGACCATAGCGGGTACGGAAAGTAGTCTTGGAAATATCCGACTCCCGGATCTTCAGCTGATGATAGCCAGAACGCAAGTCGATCTTTGAGAAGACGCTGGCTCCTCTCAGCTGGTCGAAAAGGTCCTCAATACGGGGAAGGGGGTACTTGTTCTTGACTGTAAGGGCATTCAACTCCCGATAGTCAATGCACATGCGCATAGATCCGTCTTTCTTCTTCACGAATAGGACGGGTGCACCCCACGGCGAGACACTCAGACGAATGAAACCGAGCTTGAGCAACTCCTAGATCTGGGCCTTGAGCTCTTGAAGCTCCTTCGGCGCCATACGATAAGGGGCCTTAGAAACGGGACCGGCTCCTAGAATTAGGTCAATGGTAAACTCCACCTGGCGGTCGGGCGGTCCTCTGGGAAAATCATCAGGAAACACGTCGAGGTACTCGCAAACAATAGATACTCTCTCGGGCACCCGCTCATCAACAACGTCGGATACCATGGAAACAAGATAGCCTTGACAGCTACCCTTGGAAAGGCTCTTCCTAGCTTGGATAGAAGAGATGACCCGAGGCACAGTCCTCGAACTCACCCCAAAGCACACAACAGGCTGATCGGAAACGGGATAGAGGGTGACTTCACGCTCCTGACACCGGATGTCGGCTCAGTAACGGGTGAGCCAGTCCATGCCCAAGATCACGTCAACGTCTCGCATATCAGTTACATAGACGTCGGCCTCCAGAACTCGACCACCAATACAGATAGGAAGATTGCGAACCACTGAATCAGAGATAATAATTTTTCCCGAAGCCAAACTAACCTCGAGTGTATCACAAGCATGCACGGTGCTAATAGATAAGGCCTCCAAACAACGAGATGAGATAAACGAATGGGTAGCACCGGTATCACATAAAGCAAAAACAAGAACATGGGATATCGAAAGCATTCCGGACATAGTACCTGCATTGCGAGCGGCCTCATCATGGGTGATGGTGTAGACACGGGCCTGACCCCCAGCCCTCTGCTGGAACGGTGGGGGCTGCTGCTGCTGATGAGGTGGCGGTGGGGGAAGCTGCTGCTGCTGAGGGAAGTGCTGCTGTCTCTTGGGCTCCGGACAGACATTGGCATAATGGCCCGGACGGTTGCAGTTGAAACAGGTTCGCTGGTCGGCTAAGCACTCGCCACTATGGTACTTACCACATTTCTTGCAGGTTCGGTTGCCAGAAGAGGGATGATTGTTCCGGTCGGGACCTCCTCGCTTACCCTTCCGGTTATCCTGGTGGGAATTTGCCTTCCTCTAGCCCGAACTAGAGCCGGGCGGCACGGATGAGATGGGCTGAGCATGCTGAACCACGGTCTGAGAAGGCTGGTAGGCATGATAATATGAAGGGACTGGAGCTATCGGGATGAGACAACTCTCCACCTCCTGATCCCGACTCACAGTGTCGGCAAAAGACATCAGTCCGTGACTCCCCACTAGTTCACGGATCCTCTGATTGAGCCCCTTAAGAAACTTGCGGGCCTTCTTGGCATCGGTATTCACTGAGTCGCCCGCGAAAAGACACATCCAGGTGAAGGTACGGATATACTCGTCCACTGTGGAGCTGCCCTGCTGCAAGTGGTAGAACTCATGCTCCATCCTATCCCAAAAGCTCTGGGGAAGGAACTTGCTGCGCACCATCACTTTCATTTGCTCCCAAGTGAGAGCATGAAGCTCCGCCTCTGGCCTCCGGGCCCAGTGGTCAATCCACCAGTCAGAGGCGTCCTCCTTCATCTGATAAGCTGCTAGGGACACTCGCTGACGGTCAGGGAGGGGAAGCACAGTGAAGATCTTATCCAGCTCTTTGATCCACTCCAGCACCGTTGTGGGGTTCTCAGTCCCCGCAAAAGTGGGTGCATTCATCCTCTGAAACTAGACGATAAGCTGAGTGAGGTCCATGGCCAGAGGGGCCTGGTGCTGACGAGGCGGAGAAGGAGTCGGGGATGCCTGACGGTTACGGTTGTTGTTGCGAGTATTCATACTTCTACATTGAATAAGCCGAACAAAGTTTAGCACAAAAACAAACAAAATAATCAATATTTATAGAAGTCTAGAGTTCGCCAATAAACACTAGAGTTCGATTAAATCAAGGTGGATAGGTCCTAAGCCCCAAAATAACAATTACACCACAAGTTGTTTCATTACCACATGTGTTCCATTTACATACCAAGTATTTTCATTAATACTTAAATCAAACATACCTTAAGCAGCGCGGAGTGACGGAGACGAGTGGTCATAACACAAGGTCTAAACACATAATCACATATGTGGCAGTCTACAGAAACGCAGACTGGCTCTGATACCAAACTGTAACACCCCACTTTGATTTTTCAGAAATTCCGGACTTTCCAAAATCAGTACAAATTTTTCAAATTCATTTTCGAAATCAAGGGCATTAACCAACAAAATTTACTTAGTCCAAGTCTTATCTGGACTCACGGGGATTCATAAACCCGATTTTTCACAAGGTTTTCATTAACTTGATTCACACTTCAACATAATATCCCATATGAACAATTGAAACTTCATAAATCAAACACCATGATTATTCAAGGTTTCAAAAGGGTTTTCCAAAATATTTTCAAACATCAAAACATAGTTCGAAAACAGTTTTCACATGTCCAAAACATAGAAAGGTTCATAACGACCATATTATTAAAGCGGAAGCAAAATGAAACAAATAATAAACCACCACTCGTCCTTCATCCCGTCACCCGACCACTGCTTAACCTGCATCCGTGAAGAGCAGGTGGGAATGAGCACAAATGATAAAATAGTGCTCACTACTATGCACATAATAACATGTAAAGATGGTATGGTCGCAGCATGAATATAAATCAATCATCATCATGTCTCATCTCCTAACAATCACAACAATAACTCACTCATGTGCATATCTATCATTAGCCGCAGAAAGGGGATGCATAAACCCTAACGACGGGAGTGCGTGCCACTGTAACGGACACGACCTTTCATTAGGTCTTAAGGAGACTTGCCTCGCAAGGGCAACCGTACCGTAACTCGACGGGGACAACCGTACCGACGGCCGTAACAGCTCACATCAGTAGGCTACATGGTTCACATGCATACATTGATCATACCAACAAAACATTAAACAACACGTATGGCATAGACAATTTTATAAGTAAACCCACCTGGAATTTCGGTAGAAAATTGCACACAAGAGCAAGTACGTAAGATGAGGCTCGACTCCTCAAACACCTACATTTAAGCAAGATAATATATCAATAGTCTATCTCACTACTCGAATTTAACATAAAACCCATACTTAATAAAAATTAAGACTTAAGGGTTTTAATCGGATTTTTCGTGGACTTGGAACTCTCTCATTTTTGAAAAAATAAGACTCGGAGAATAAAATTGGAGTCTCGGGACTTAGAATAATTTTACCCAAAATTTATCATTTCAAAAATATTTTTTTTTAAAATTGAAATCGGTATTAAAAACGGACTCCGGAACACAAAAATTGGCTTAAAAGGTGGATTGGGCCGAGCTGGGAAGGGTTAGAGGTGTTGCTGGGCCGCTGTTGCACACCATTTGGGCCGCGGATTGGGCCATGCGCTAACAGGCCTGCTACTAGGCTGGCCAAATGCGGGCAGAGGATTGGGCTTCGCGGGCTTCATCTGCTGAGGGGACGCGGGCTGGGAATTGGGCCGCGCGGGCTAGCGGGCGGAAATACGGGCTCGCAGGCTGGGAAGCCCGCTCTGTTGGGAAAATAGGCCAAAAAAATGCTCAAGGACGAGGATCGAACACGAGATATCACGCAGGAACTGCGCACAGAACCCGCTGGACTACAACGGCTACTTGAGACTTAAATTGCAAATTTTAGAAAATGAATACCAAAACCTGCTACTGAAACTTTGAGAAACAGAGCTCGGGAATTTGCAGAAACTTGTGAGATCACAGCAGATTGCACCCGAATTCGACGATGCCATTACCAACGGCAACCGGGACTAGAATATAAAACATCTACGAAAATAACACTTTTACAAAGTTTTGAAAACCGTTTAAAGCCGGGTCGAAAGTCGAAATGACAATACGTAGTTCGAAACAAACGAATAACATAACAACAACGACAAGGTTCGAAACAATAAAAAACGACATTCCGAATCACTGGGAAACATCACGCAGTAGCAATGAGATTAGCTACAACAAATAAGACTCGATATATGCAAACGAGAGTTCCAATTCACACGACTAATATCCAAAACGCAATACGTCGAACAAAAACGAACCGAATATATATATACATATACAATAATCAATTCAGCGAATAATTCCAGCCACACGATAGCACAGAAATTATAACAAGAAGGTTCGAATTAGATTACCCGTCTTCGGGAATTTACGAGAAATCGGAAAAACGGGTCGGACAACGGGGCGAACGGAGTCTCGACGGGACTCAAAACTCTAAACTTTCAAAAGCGGGGACGGAGAGCTGCTGGTTCTCGATGGCACAACGGCTCCGCTGCGTGGACGCAGGCAACGAATAGGGCCGCTAAAGAGAGGTCTCGCCGGTGAATTGAGGTTGTTCGAGGTTCGCGATGGACAGCGGATCTCCGGCGAGGACGGCGATCGATGACTAAAACGATGGGATGACGACGAGGAAACGCCGGCGATCGAGCTGCAGACTGCCGGAATTTGCAGTTGCGGTATAAATTTTTATTTTTTTTAAACTGTTGAGGACTGGCGAGAGAGAGAGAGAGATAGATGGTGAGCTTTGAACGAGATGGAGGATGGAGACTATATGTATTCTCAGCCAAAAAGATAAGGGAGAAAATTGGGGAGATCGTGCGAGCGTGCAACAAGATTTCACCAAAAATTGCAACAACAAAATTATAATCGTTGAAGGAGATGGACTCTGTCGCAGGAATAAGGAAAAATATCTCTTCGCTATAATGGCAGGTGCTAATAAGTGTTTGGGCTTGTCAGGTATGATTATTGGGCTAAAAAAAAAATATACAAAACATTGGTCCAACAATATTAAATACCAAAGGGCCGACCAAATGGAGCCCCATTGGATCAAATTCTTCAACGGCTCGACTTACGAATACTCGGGCTCGGTTCTATTGAACGGTTCGCTAAACAAAAAATAAATTAACGGAAACACATATATATTTATATAATACACACAATAATATTTATAACAATAATAGGCATTTAAAACAATTAGACATTCAATCAAAAATAAAAAATAATAATAATAATAATAATAATAATAATAATAATAATAATAATAAGCAATAATAATAGCAATAATAAATAACCAATAAATAATCTCAAATAATTCAAATTCAAACAGGGTGTTCTCCTGTTGGGAGCCTTTTAGTTTTTCTAGTTCTTAGTTCTTAGTGTTTGTCGTGTGTTTTTTGGTTTCTAGCGTTGCTAGTGTCGGGATTCTAGGCAGTCGTTAGACTTGTCCTCCCATTTTATTCTCCCGTTGGGAGCTTTGTACTTTTATTCGCACGTTGTGCGTTTTGATTTATAATAGTTCCTCTATCGTTTCGGAAAAAA